AGTGACTGTCGAAGGTTGGTCCAACAAGGTGCTAGAGCTCGACCAAGGGCAGTTTTTCAGTCACCTGAAAGACTTAGGGGGGGGAAAGCGGATGAATCAGGCGGGTTTTACATCTCGTTGAGGTTTGATATCCCCGTCTTCTGGCCGGTGGGGGATGTCCAATGGCCACACCATCCATTTCTCTGGGATGTCCAATGGCAGCAAAATCATTCTCGGGGTGTCAACGGCGGCACCATCAATTCTCCCCCGGGCTGATGGGGTATGTCAGCAGAACATCACCATGCCACTGCTGCGTTGAGTACGTCGGTACATCGGGCCCTGCTGTCCCGCCGATGGTCAATGGGGAAACAGCATCAGCACTGCTGATCTTGGGAGACAGGAGGCAATTCTGCAAGGAGGCCATAGAAAGTTACCAGGGGTTGTCCGTCGCTGTTATCAGGTGGAAGCCTCATGCTGGGGCTTCCTCAAGCTGTCCTCTGGTCGTTAGTCCTCACCACGTGTCGGGGCCTCGATGCTGGGAACCGTCCTCTGGTCGCTGCTCATCTATATGGACCTAGGAGTCGTGGTCATCTGTGTGTCGTCTTTCTTTACCCATTCTCCGTCACTATTTCTGCAATGAAAAAAGTATGCGCGAGTGAAGAGAGAAGCACACACACCCTCCACCAAGGTCTGTACTCCCGGAATGATGGTGTGCCATGGACATCCCGAGAATGATGGTGCGGCCATTGGAACATCCCCACCGGTCGAAGACTGGTATATCCAACTCCAAACGAGGAAGGTAACCGCCTGATCATCCGATTTCCTTCAGGTGCACTGAAAAACTGCCCTTGGGTCTGAGCTCTAGCACCTTGTGGACCTACCTTCACAGTCACTGGAGCGGACACCTCCTGGCCACACACGAGGGTTGATCATTCTTTCGCACTCCCCCCCACCCATATGTTTGTGCAGGATGTAACTTCGTCCTGGGCAGTCGTCCAACCTTACGTAGATGTCCCAGGAATAGACAACTGAGAATGGAGCCCCCTGAACTACAGCACGAACAACGCCTGCAGTTTAGGTGCGAAAACGAAGGCTGCCACGAGGCATTTCCATCCAAAATTGGGCTGAAGAACCATAAGGCCGCACACCGCCGACGAACTGCCAGGGAGGCCCAGCAGCGTGGACTCCGCCTTCGAAGACTTCTGCCTCCACCGCCGGTGGAGCGCCCTCGGCCAAGACCTCTGTGGAGAAATTTTCTCCAGGAGGGGGGTATCAGCCCCCTTCAGCCCCCTTCAGCCCTTTCAGCCCTGAGGGGCCACTCAGAAGGGGCAAGCGTCTTGTTTACTGCTAGAGTGAGTAATTGATCACAGATGATATGCCATGTAATCAAGTGACCTCTGCTCCTTGCAACGGTGTTGCAACGTGTATTTTTATAAGAGACAATACATCTCTTACTTAGCAGGACAATTAAGGAAAATCCTGCTCCCACTTTATTTACCATAGTTAAAAAATAGTGTAATTGTTGTCTACGCGGTTTAAGAAGCAAGAAAAACAAACATTCTGCTTTGCTTATCGAGGAGGTGACAAGGATGCAAGGTACTAGGTCTGCGTTTTTTTATGGTGCTGGGGGCATGTGACTGCATGGGAGAGCTGTGGCGTCTGACAGATTTTTTGACTCTGGAGAGAGTCACACTGACGCCAGGATATCAGGCAAAGGACACTGATCTGTTTTTTGGGCCGTTATTGTGATAAAGTGCTCACCCAACACAATAAACTCTTAAGAGAAGTGTGATCAGCTTTCTCTTGTGGATACATTGTGAACAATAAAGAAAAATCTTGTAGAACATAGTGTACCAGTGTGCGTTTCCTAGACAATGGAAGACGTGGACATCCAAAGACAATTCAGTTCTATCAAGTCACCGATACCTGTCGAAGGTGGTTGAGAAAACACCATAGCTCACGTTACAAAGAGCAAAGGTAGGTTACGAATTTCTTGTAGATCGGGGGAATTGCGCAATGCTTGAGTCACAAGGAGTTTGTAATCAAACTATAATCGGCGTAAGGTGTGGACTTTTGAGTCCAAAACAAGTAGTATTTTGTCAGCCATCATCGAATGAAATATGCTGGACATAACACCCCTAAGGGGAATTTATACTTACAAATTGATCTCTTGAAGCCCACTGTTGTGATGGTTTCTGACAGCATCTAGACCTCGTTCTGCAGGGGCGGCTGTGTAGACGATTTGCTGTCATTTATCAGCTAAGTGTTCAATTATATATATCTAATATATTATATATATATATATTATATATATCTATATTATATATATATAATAAAACAGCAGGTAAGGCCAATTGCTCAACAAAACTCCACAGATGGCAGGCCCCCCCTCGTCACTGGGTCCACCACAGTGTGGAGTCCCTCAGCCACAACTCAGCAGGCAGAGCACCCACAGCAACATGACAATGTCCACCATCTTCCTTGCCCTTTCTCCCCTACCTCCTACCCCTTCCCCTCCCCTTTCCCACACACTTTTGTACTTGGAGTGGGTCCCAGCAGAATTCCAACAAGGTCTGGCTCCCACCGCCGTCCTCTCCATTACCTGCCTCCTTACTCACCCTCTCTTCGTTCCCTCCTTCTCCTCGCCCCGACCACACCCTCTCCCCCTCCTGTCCATCCCCTTAACCCTCTCATTGCAGGTACCGCCGCACCTCTCTCCCTTCCTTTGCAGATGAGGACTCGCACTCCCACCAGCGACGCTGTTGAGACCCAATGAACCACTCGCTGCCAGGAGTGGACATCAGGATACAAGCCAGGGTGACTGCTGACCAAGACGATGCTGTGGAGGATTCGTTCCTCAAGCCCTTTCTAGGTACATTGCTTGTTGTTACAATACACCTGATGGGACAGTTTGGTCGAGCTAACACGGGAGGTGAGGAGGAAATACAGCGGGCTAACTCCATCCAACTCAACGAATTAACTCCCCCTACCCGCCGGGGGAAACAATTGATGTTTAACGACTGCAAAGGCCATACAGCGCGATACAAGATTAATAGAAGAAGAGCTGTGCGGTGAATAACCTCGGGTGAGGGCAGTCGTTGCAGCTTACCTAAGGAAATGATAGAGGCACACTTCAGTCAGATCCAGGGAGAGTATGTGGACCCCCTAGAAGACCCAGCACTGGTGGAGGCAATTCCTATCCCAACGGAAGAAAGACCACCCCTTCGACTCAACCCATTTACAGAGAAGGAAGTAACATCACGGCTCGCTAAGGCTGAAAATACCGCCCCAGGTTATGACCGCATTATCTACAGGAACTGGCGACTGGCAGACCCAGGCGGTCGCGTTATAACAGGCAATCCTGCGAAAGATCATAAGAGCTGGCATGACTACAAACCCCCAGCTGAAGCACCCGTGCCTCGCATATGCGATGACATCACTCTCTTGCAGGGACACCAGCACAACTGCAGGAGCTCATCAACGTCGCAACACAAGCATGTGGGGAGCTTCAGCTAACCATTAACCCTGCCAAATGCACCTCCCTGCACATGTACGGAGCCAGCCCACGAGGGATGAGACGAACCCCATTCCTTGTTGGAGACACACAGATTTTGTCCATTGAGGATGGACTGTTACAAATTCTTGGGTCTTGTTGGGTTTCAGTACTACCGATATAGCCATCATAGAAGATACATTCACCCTAGGGATGAGCATCACTCAAAGCAAGCTTCGCACCCTGGCAGCGATTGACGCCCTGAAGGGACATTTGTACTACAATCGCTGTGTTTGCCATGCCAACATGGAAATTGAGGAAAACCGATTGGAGGTCTTGACATGTGCATTGCGACTCTGTTTTTAAAAAAGACCCTGTACCTTCAGCCCCGTGCGTCTAATGAAATACATATATGGCAGCAGCCAGCGGGGGCTGTGGCATTCCCTCTGCTGCAGAAGACGTCCGAATATTCGTGGTGGATACAGACCTTCAAAACTACTCACCTCCATGGACCTAGACACCCAGAGACATTGCCCGGAGCGACTGCCAGCAAGTGGCATCCTAAGAACCAACAGGACCAAACATGGGAAGGTTTGCATGTGCAGTCTTGTCAAAACATGGAGATGGGACGGCAGGTGGAACCCAAACACTCTGGTCCAGGGACGGTGATGCCTCTGGACGGATGGGTGTTACTGGTCATACCAACAGAAACAGCTAGAACACTGGGGCTAGCATGTGGCGATTCTTACTAGGTCAGCACAGGGGGATAGTTCGCCCACACATCACGAACCCCACGAAGCTCCAGGGATATCATCTGCAAGCAAAACCAGACCTAGGGAAAGTGATGCAGGTAGTAGTGGACGGTGAACGGCATACCGTCGCACTTATGGAGGGGGAAACATACACAACCTTCACCGACTGAGATTCATACACAAGCAGACTGAAATTTGTACCACTGAATGGCGCACGTTCGCTATGACAGGGGTGGTGACCGACGATGCCGAAGATGCACCCTACACAACTAGGAGCACTACCTCACGTCGTAACTGTTGGAGACACTGTGCCACCATTACCCTGCGACACCAATGCATTGGTGGCGAGGATCAAGAAGGCCGCACAGGTCCGAGGGTGGTGACTCAACTCCGAGAAATCAGTTGTTTGCAGGGCGCACAGACCACAGGACGACCAGACCTAATCATCACGATGGATGGGGATTGAGGCTGATTGATCGTTTCATGGCCCTTTCGAGAATGGACGTCTTCGAAGATTGAACGTCTGGCCTCACGAAAGTATCACAAACTTTCTTGGAGGCTGTGTTGGTAGCGGAGTCATAAAATGGTAAAGGTTGATATACACTGAACATATAACAGGTGTAGGCAGTATTAACAACTTGTAAAAATTTGTAATCATCAAGAAGCTTGTAACTTGATTGTTTAGCCATCTTACAGTAGAATAGTATTGTGCAGACACCACAACTGAGTGCTGCTTTTGCATTGTATCAAATTAGTTATTATGAAACAGATGTTAAAACCCATTGTAGCATTTTTCGAAAATAAAAATCTGTTCTTATCAGCTTATAGCTGATACGATCCCCATGTGGGATCTTCGATATTAAAATGATTTTTGGATTCATGGTCAAAGTGCTAGGGGCCTTGCTCCATCCTTTGCCGCGGATCGGCCCGGTATTGCAGTACTTCCAGGATTGGTCCACTCCCCTGGGGAGAAAAAAATTCAACTAACCTAATTATAATATGAAGCAGTGTTCCATATCATGAACCGCTTTCTGGCATTTAACTGGAAACCAACAGGATGCACCAGGGATTTCCCAGTGTTCCAAATTTTGTTCCTGGGGTGCACTTCCCACTACTCTTACGGACTGCCTTTCGCATACTCGTAACCTTCGATTGTCTCTGATCCTTCATATACATGTTTATTAAATCCCACTTGTATCTTACAATGCAGTGGTGTATTGTATAAAAAGATGATCTTTTAGTGCCTCCTTGAAGTCGTTTCTTTCTAAGAGTTATTAAGCTTATTGTGTCAAGAGATATTATGCATTGCTATACCCATCCAGTGGACAGTAGTTAAGACTGAAAGACCAATGGATTGAAGGAACTGGGCCCCAAACTTTGGATAGGCAAACAGAGTTAGTGTTTTATGAACTATTTTTATAAATTTAATGGGCTGGTAAATTGTAATGAGTTGTTCAGAATACAATTCAGTCACAAAAACATTACAATTATTAATCACAGTAGACCTTGGTGGGTGTTGCATCCTCTTCACTCAACTTTTTTTGCAGTAAATAGTAAAATACCGGCAGACCCTACCATCCTGGGGATGAGTGACGACGACACTGAGGATAACCACGACTTCTGGTCTCAGTTAGCAATGTGCGGGACCAGAGATGGTTTCCAGCAATGAGGCCCCACGATGGTGATGGAGTGGGAACGACGACAGGAGGGTAGGATGGTTCCAGCAGTGAGGCTTCCCCAACAGCGATGGACAACCAGGAAAGTTATGGTTCCTCTTTTGCAGATTGGCTCCTTTCTCCAGTGAATAGCGTGCGGGATGCTGCCGATTGCTCCCCATCAGCCAGCGGAGATGGTGCTGCTGGCGTTCCCCATCGGACCAGCGGAGAACGGTGGTGTGCTGACGTCCCCCATCGTCCACTGAGAGAATGGCGCTGCGTGACATACACCATTCTGCCAGTTAGAGAAAGATGGTGCTGCTGCATCATTGCATCGGTCGCAATGCACAGTCAAGACGTGTCCAAATCAGTATTTCAGTTGCCATGTATGCATGGGCAAACCAGGCAGATGGTAGAACAAATGTCTTCAGGCATTAATCACTGCCAGGGTGCGATTTGCTTTCAAGTAAGCTCTTCCCTAGGGCGATTGTAGTCATCTACGATGGCTATATCGTAGCTGAAAACAACGGGTGCCCTAGAAATTTTGTGTCCATCCTCAATGGACAAAATCTGCGTGTCTTCTACAAGGAAGGGGTTCGTTTGTGCCCCGGGGGCTGGCTCCGGACATGTGCATTGAGGCGCATTTGGGGGGGGTTGAGGGTTGCCGAAGCCGCATGCTGTTTTGGACTTTAATTAGCTTTGCTTTTGTGTGGTGCCCCTTGCTAAGAGAGGATGTCTTGGCGTATGCGGGCAGGGATGTTCGCGGGGGGTTAGTACCCATCCCGGGCTGTTATGATTTCGAGGATGCCTCTCCCCACTAGGGGGGAATCCTTTATAAATTTCCCCTTTGGGTTTGGGATGTCAGCTTTCCCCTTCATTGAAATGTTTTGTGGATTTTTCCTTGTTTACCCCACTGATGATTCTTGAATCCCCCCAGACCCCCATACGGTCTGGGGACAGTTTACAGTTCAGTCGAAATAAACCAAAGGGTTAGAATTTTAAATGTGGTATGCAGATTTTCCTTTTCCCATTGGGAGGGGGTGGGGGCCAGCCCTGGGGGGGGATTTGCTGGCTCTCTCTTGGGTAAATTATGTGTGGGAGGGGTAGGAGGTAAGGGAAAAAGGCAAAGGGAAAGGTGGTGGACTTGGTTGGGGGGGGCTTGCCTGGGGTGGAGCCGTGGTCGGGATGTTCCACTGTGGGTTTTTGGGCCGGGGGGTTCCCACCGGAGGGGAATTTGGGGGCCCTCAAAGGTGGAGCCCAAGCCCTGGGTTCCCTTGCAGTTTTTTGGCAGTGTCCCCTTTTCCTTTTTCTTAGTCCTATTTTTGGAGGGGAATGCCTCATACACCCTTCGTTTTCGAACCTAAAAACGGGCATTGTTGGTTTTGTAGTTCATTCTCCCCATTCTTGGACGATTTTCCAGGCGATGTTACATCCTGAGAGAATATATGTGTGGGGCCAGGTGGTGTCGCTCCGCGACGTCAAAGGGTTTTCAGTGCATAAAGGGGCTTAGGGGGGGGAAAGGTGATCAAGGTTACCATCTCTTGGGGTTGGATACCCCCGCCCCTTGGGCCCCGGTGGGGGGATGTCAATAGGGCACCATCTTTCCATGGCAGATGGTGTATGTCAGGGGGCAGCATTCCCTTCTCCGCGGGGAGGGGGGACAGCGCAAATCTTCCCCGGGGCCGATGGGGGACATCGGCAGATCACACTGATTTTTCTGGGGGGGCCCCCAATTCTGCCAAAGAAACCAAAAATTTCCGGGGGTGTCCTTGCTGTCGGGGGAAGCCTCACTGGGAACCTTTCCCCCTCCTGTTATCCATCGCCTTTGGTGGGGCCTCTTGCTGGAACCACCCTCTGGTCCCGTTATCTTCTGAGACCAGAAGTCGTGGTTATTCTCAGTGGTCGTCGTCGTCACACCCCCTGCTGGTAGTGGATCTGCGAATTTTTACCAAGAAAAAGTGTGCTTGAGTAAAGAGTGCACACCCCCCAAAGGTTGTTTGTATTAATAATTGTAATGTTTTGTGACTAAACTGTTTTTTGAAAAAATCATCAAAAATTTACCCCCCCTTAATTTTATAGTATTTCATTAAAACTAACTCCCTTGCCCATCAAAGTTTGGGGCCCCCTTCTTCACCCTTGTTCTTTTGTTTAATACTGTCCCTGGTTTGGGATAGGAATGCAAATTCTCTTGACCCAATTAAGCTTTAATGAATCTTTGAAAAAAACTGTCATTAATCATTCCTCGAGGCCCCTTGGGGGGACGTTTGCTACACCTCTGTCGGCCAAATGGTGGTTGGGGGCACCGAAATTAAAACTGTCGGCAAAGAAATTTTGAGAGGGAAATTAAAACAAGTTTTCGTTTACGTTTTTTGCCCCTGATTTTCAGAGACATAGGGATTTAGGATTGGCGCTTTACGGTGTACCTTAAATGGGAAAATACCCAAATTTTGTGAAATGCTGTCATACAGGTTTTGAGGATCTATTGATCATTTTCAGGGTTGCTTCGGGTTTTGAGGCTTGGTAAAGATGGGCCATTTTTTCGAGTCAAATTTTTTTATGAAAATTACTGTCAAAAAGGGAAATGGAAACGGGGCTTATGTAGGTTTTTCCAGAAGGTAGTTTTAGCCCAAGATGGCTGAGACGACCAATCCCCCGTATTGTTCAGGAATTTTTGGGCACAAATATTGTAACTTTGCTGGCCAAGTGAACTTGTAGATGTGTGATGGTTTATCACATAGCAGTGAATGTGTGAGGCGGGGACGGCCGGGAATACCAAAGGGGTGACATTTCGAGGCGAGGACCTACAGTGATGTCAGAAAAGCCAGGGGGGAAGGCGGTTGTGAGTGAGGAAGTGGGGGGAAATACACGTGAGGTGGGATGAGGGTGCAGGGCACAATTGAGTGGTCTGAGAGGGGGAGCACGGGGGGACGGATGACCCAAAGAACCCAATGGTAGAAATTGACGAGTCTTGAGACGTTTTGAGATTCCCTAAATGGGAGCCCCGGTCGGGAAAGGGGAGCATGGGGCCGGAGGAAGGAAGTAATGTCGGGTTGGCCAAATGGAGAAGGGGAATGAGGTGAGGTGCACAATTGGGGGGTCAGGAGACAAGATGGTGAAGAGAAAGTGTCGAGGAAGGGGCAGCTGAGTTGATCAGTGACATCCTATCAGCACAAAGACCAGGGAAAAAAAAAAAGGGGGGGATTAAAAAGGGGTGTATGGGCAAGGAAAAAAAAAACGCCAGAAAAGGGGGGGGGGTTAGGAGTGGGGGGGGTGGGGGATGGCAAGGATGGTTTATGAGGTATGGGCGTGGAAAAAAGAGGTGGGGAAAAATGGGGGGAAAACGAAGCAGCCAAGGGTTTTGACAATTAAATTTTAAAGGTTTATTTGGCAAGTGGTGGGGTTGGAGGGTGCTGTATCGTTTTCAAAGGGAGGTTGCCTTTAACAAGGTAATTTAAAAAAGGAAAAATTTTTCTGGGGTGAATGGTATAGGGCTTTTGTAATTTCCAAAGACTGTTTAAAGGGGATAGTGTTTTAATTTTTGAGGCAAACTTTTTTTTGCAAAGGTTTGGGGGGGGGTGAGGAAAGAAAATGAGTGGAGGGTGGTGGATGGTGAAGGTGTCTTGTGGGTGTATGCTCTGGCGGAAACGATGTGAGGGTCAAATGGATTTGTAAGGGGGGGTGACTGGTGTATTTCTTGCATTTGTAAGGGTGATCGGTGATTTTTGGATTGATTGGGGGGGATTGGGTTGAAAAATATGGGATTTTGATTGACGCCGGGGGGCAGGTATTATCAATTGGAGATATATTGGTGGAATAGGTAAGTGCAAATTGTATGTAAAAAAGGGGAAAAGCAGCTAGACGGGTAGGATCATATAAGCAAGGGGTTTAGTCGTTTTTAAACTATAGAGCAATTTATTAATCCCCGGGGGGGGGGTGGTTGGGGAGTGGCTGGGATTGTTAGTGAAAAAGGTTTTGAAAGTACTGGAAATTAACACCGGGTCCCTTTAGGAGTGGAGGGGGGGGTTGCTTCGTTGTGGAGGAAGTAGGCCAAAAGGGGGCAAAAAGGGTTTTAATGTTGGGACAGTGTGGCCAAGGAGAGGATTGTAAGTTTTACGTGGGGGAGGGAAGGTTAAATGATGGTTAACCGGAGTTTACCTGGAGGAGTTCCGGGGGGGAAGCCCCCACGCCCGGTCTGGACCCGGTTTCCCGGTGGATCAGGCCTGACAACCAGGCTGTTTTGCTGGCTGCACCAAACCAACATAGAGCCAAGCCCGGTTTGGGCGGAAAACCCATTTTGGTGCTTGTCCAT